AAAAAAAAAAAAAAAAGTGTAAGTACTGTTATTTTTTTCCTGTTTTACAGATGAGAGAACCAAAAGTAGTTATCCATAGTCACAGCTGATGGGTGGCAGAGGGTTTTGTTTGGTTGGTTGATTGGTTTTGGGGTTTTTTGTTTTGGGGTGTTTGTTTTTTTGAGACAGAAGCTTGTTCTGTCACCCATGCTGGAGTGCAGTGATACAGTCTTGGCTCACTGCAGCCTCCCCGGTTCAAACAATTCTTGTGCCTCAGCCTCCCAACTGCCTGCTACTACAGACATGCGCTACCACCCTGGCTGATTTTTGTATTTTTAGTAGAGACGGGTTTCATCATGTTGGTCAGACTGGTCTCAAACTCCTGATCTTGTGATCTGCCCACCTTGGCCTTCCAAAGTGCTGGGATTACAGGCATGAGCCACTGTTCCTAGACAAGTGGCAGAGTTTTGCAGTGCAAACACAGACATTAAGGAATTTAGGGCCATATATGTTATGTAAGTCATAATATCTCAATGTTTATAGCTTCTATATGTTATTTCTTTACTTGCTTTTTAAAGTTGATAATGGGGAATTTCTGGTATACTCAGAAGTAGAGTAGTATAAAGAACCCCCCTGTCTCTGTCACCCAACCTCAGCAACTGTGACATGGCAAGACTTGCTTCACCCAGGCTCCAGCTTACTCTACCCCTCTACCCCCCATTATTTGGAAGCAGATCTCAAACATCATATTTTTTAAAGTAAAACCGTAATACCATTAATCAGATATAAAAAATTAATAGTAATTTCTTAATATTATCCAACGTGCAGTCAGTGGTTAGATTTTCCTAATTGTCATATAATTTTTTAAATGAATTTAACTCAGAATCCAAACCAGGCCCATATATTGCAAGTGGTTGACATGGCTTGTAAGTGTTTCAGTTCTTCAGAACCCCCCTCTTTATCTCTCTTTTTTCTTCTTACAATGTACTTATTGAGTAATCCTGGTCATGTGTCCCATACAATTTCTCATAGTCTGAATTTTGCATATAGACAGTGCCATGTGATGCCATTTAACCTCTTCCTCTGTCCCTGGATAGCCTATATGTTGGTGTAGTTAGAGTTTGAGATTGGCAGTTATGGCCGGGTGCGGTGGTTCATGCCTGTAATCTCAACACTTTGGGAGGCCAAGGTGGGTAGATCACCTGAGGTCAGGAGTTCGAGACCAGACTGGCCAACATGGTGAAACCCCGTTTCTACTAAAAATACAAAAATTAGCCAGGCATGGTGGTGCATGCCTATAGTCCCAGCTACTTGGGAGGCTGAGGCAGGAGAATCGCTTGAATCCGGAAGGCAGAGGTTGCAGTCAGCAGGGTGAGACTCTGTCTCAAAAAAAAAAAGAGATTGGCAATTAGCATTAGTTAGAGATTTGATCAGATTCAGGTTTAACTTTTCTTTTTTTTAATACTTTAAGTTTTAGGGTACATGTGCACAACGTACAGGTTTGTTACATAGGTATCCGTGTGCCATGTTGGTTTGCTGCACCCATCAACTGGTCATTTACATTAGGTATT